AGAAAATCTGATGAGAACACCTAATTTCTTTTTTCCTTATCTAAAGCAGATTTGATTTGAAAAAAAAATCTGAAGAAGTCACGTATGTCAGTTGAATTCCATTGTCATGCGCTTTACTGATAAGATTTACACAGTTTTTCCAGCGCATCTGCATGTCCCCAATATAATCTCTGAAACTGTGCAGAATTGCGTTTTAGCATTTGCTAACGTTTTCTTCGTTGGTGCGCTCCCTTCTTCCATCCATGCGATCAGTTTTTTCTCCAACAAAATTGCTTGACCCAAATTCATGTCCATCATTGATATTCTTAGCCCACATGCAAGATCCTCCATTTCCCAAGTTTTTTTGCATTTTGATTTTCATCTTTATCTTTTCACCAAAAGACTTGTACTGTGCGGCTATATCACACCTGTTTTTGTGAGCGCTTGTTGTTTTACTTCGAACCTGAGAGAATGTAGCTATAGTGAATCGTTTCGTTTTTCAGTTTTAGCGCACTAAAGCGTCCCTGCGTGTTGTACCATCGTCGCCCGCGTTGGCTACGGTATCGATTCAGACAGTTGAAGGTTCCATCAGTGTGAAGAGTGAACACGTACAGCTCAGTACACGTTCTCCAGTTGATCAGGTAATTTATGACCTTTAAATGATGTTTACTGTAGGTTCTGAGCTGTGTCTATTTCAGGGAGAACATTATATGACATCAGAGTGTAACTCTGTGTCCTATATTACTCTAACTGAACGAAGGATTCTCATCAGGTTTGTTTTTCTTCTGATTTTCCCATTCGCTTAGTAAACGAACGCAGCTCAAAATCAACAGAGCTTATCGCCAACAAATTTTCGCTTTAAAAGAGGTAATCGCTTTTCAACATGTTTTTGAAGCGCTAATTCGTCGTTATTTTGATTTCTCAAACTGTTGAATTGTAAATGAGAGCAGTGTTTTGCTCAGCTTAGTTAATGACTTAGCAGGCTGCTGACTTAGTAAATGGGAGAATTAGTCACATTGGACAGCTGCAGTACATGTCCTCATAAGTGATAAGCATGCAGGTTTTTTCAAGTAGAATAGTCCTTTAAAAATAAACATATTCGTAAAATACCTGCATTACGTTTAGTAATGATCATGCATCTCTGAGAACGCTCTTTACCTTGAAAATTCCGACATATGGACCAGATAATACTGTAATTCATTTATCGCTGACAAAACTCGCATAGTGCTGACATTCAAATTCGTTTCTAAGCGACTTATGACATGGCAACGAAATAAAAATTAGATGATGAAATTTGCTGTGAATTGTTCTTTTTTTTTGAAAAATCTGTTGTTGCAGGTAATATCGCCTAGAAGACGCCGCGCCTTCTCAGATTATCTCATCATACCAGTATTATAATCCCGGTTCAAATTGCTACAAGTCAACAATGAATATCTCATCTGCAAGTGTGCCTCGTGCGCATCGTCATCATCATCATCGCCAGCAGCAGCAACAAACTACAACTCTCATCGGGTCTCCAGGTCCTGCATCTTACTCTGTATCTGCTCCGGCAACGCCGAAAGGTAGACAAGAGGTAAGAGATTATCACTTGTTGAAAGGATTTATAGTAATCATGATATTATTTGTAGGGTGCTCGGCGTCAAGCCCGTCGTCCGATCTCATTCAATGCTAAGATTGGTGCTAGTCCATGCTATGCTGGTTCGAAATTCAGCGACTCGCCAACTGCACGCGCTATTCCTTTGCCACCTACCGAATGGATTTATGAGGTTAGTAGTTGAAAGTTTTCAAATGTGTCTGTCAAACTCTTTATTTTTGTATTTTAGGCCTTTAGCTCTAGCTCACAATCTGATACCAGTTCAATGAGTAGTGGATCATTTGTGGGAGCGAATAGCGATTCAGAAACAAGCTCGATATGTTCAAGCACTCCATCGTGGAGCGATGTCGGAGAGATGTCCGCTCTGCCTACTACACCGCAGAAATCCGCATTACGTCCACCATCAGGAATGCGTGTACATCCTCTTCGTCTCATCGCGGCTGTCGCTGCATCATAAGGTCAGGCTGAGCAGTTGAATTATTGGATCCAATCTTATAAACATATTAAACATCTTACCATATTTTTTTT